CAGCTTCCAGGCACAAAGAGAGAGGTGTGGCTTTCCCCATAGGCTGGGCATCCTGGATAAGGGGATAGGGGAGGGGGAGGAAGGACTCTAATGGGAACAGAGACCTCCCCCCGCCCTGTTCTGGTGTGTCTGGAGGCCAAGGGTTGGATGGGATGACCTCTGATTCAGTGAGCTGCTCCTACTTTGCTTCCATCACCATCCTCACTGGTGCAGGTCTAGATGGTCTGGGTTCTAATCCTACTTGGCCACATAGGATGATTACAATTGACCTTGGGAAATTCCCCCACAGTTCTCTGTCCATTTAGGAAGGGGAAGTATTTGTAGTTTACCCAGTGTTGTTCAGATTCAATGAGATGATTATGTGGCAATTGCCTCATGTGTAGCAGGTGCAGTGCTGGGTGCTGAGGATTCAATTGTGAGCCTCCATTCCGGGGACAGCGCCTGGAGATACTGAGTACACAGTGACAGGAGAGCAGTTCTCTCCTTCCCACAAGGAGCATGTTATGCAGCGCTCCATAGGCTACAGACATTCATATTTTTTTGTGCTGGTTCTGGGGCTTGAACTTCAGGGCTTGGGCGCTGCCCCTGAACTCTTTCTTTCTTTCTTTCTCTCTCTCTCTCTCCCTCTCTCTTTCTCTTCATTGTGGGGCTTGAGCTTGGGGCATAGGCATTGTCCTTGAGCTTTTTCTATTTTTTTTTTTTTAAATGATAGTCATGGGGCTTGAACTCTGGGCCTGGGTGCTGTCCCTGAGCTCTTCAGCTCAAGGCAAGCACTCCACCACTTGAGCCACAATGCCACTTCCGGTTTTCTGGTGATTTATTGAAGATTAGAATCTCATGGACTTTCCTTGCCCAGGGTGGCTTTGAACGGCGATCTTCAGATCTCAACCTCTAGAATAGTTAGGATTACAGGCCTGAGTCACCAGTGCCTGCTCCTGAGCTTTTATTTGCTCAAGGCTAGCACTCTACCACTTAAGCCAAGCTCCATTTCCAGTAGTTGGTTGCAGATAAGAGTGCTGTGGAATTTCCTGCCCAGGCTGGCTTTGAACTGTGATTCTCAGATCTCAGCTTCTTGAGTAGCTAGAATTACAGACATGAGGCACTGGCAGAGGCTCAGAGAAGTAACTTGTCCCAAACCATGCAGCTCATGGATAACAGAGGGAACCTGCTATTCCAATGGGCCTGACTCCCCGATGTGTGACTCTTTTTTTTTTTTTTTGTGGTACTTGGATGGAACTCTGGGTCTCTAATCTCAAGTAAGTGCTCTACCACTTGAGCCACGCTTCTGGTCATTAATTTTTCTGCTTGTACTAGGGCTTGAACTCAGGGCCTTGCACTCTTGCTTAGCTTTTTCACTCAAGGAATTTGTTCTACCACTTGAGCCACTCTTCCACTTCTGGATTTTTGCTAGCTAATTGGAGATAAAAGTTTCTTAGATTTGTCTTCTCCGGCTGGCTTCAAACCAGGATCCTCAGATCTCAGTCTTAGCTCAGGCTCCTGATAGGATTACAGGCATGAGTCACCCTTGCCTGGCTGTATTTTGTTTTGAGATAGGGTCTTAAATTTTGCCAACCTGTTCTTTTTTTTTTATTATTTTTTTTTTTGGGTCCGGTCGTGGGGCCTGAACTCTGGGCCTGGGCGCTGTCCCTCAGCTCTTCAGCTCAAGGCTAGCGCTCTACCACTTGAGCCACAGCGCCACTTCTGGCTTTTTTCTGTTTGCTTATGTGGTGCTGAGGAATCGAACCCAGGGTCTTGAGCATGCAAGGCAATGCTCTACCACTGAGCCACCTTCCCAGCCCCCAACCTGTTCTTAAATTTGAGATCCTCCTGCCTCTGTCTGCCCCATAGCTGGGATTATGGGTTATTTGCCACCATGACTGTCTCTGACTTTTTTTTTCTCTTGGTATTGGGGTTTGAACTTAGGACTTTGTGCTTCTTAGGCAGATGTTCTATCACTTGAGCCAGTCTTTTTTATTTTTCTGGTTATTTTTCAGGTATGATCTTGTTTTATTCTCAGGTTAGTATGGAGCAAAGTCTTCTTATCTCTGCTTCCCATAATAGCTGGGATGACAGACATCTACTACCAGGTCCGGCTCTGGCTCTAACTTCTGCTTCTTGATGTTGAAGAGAGAGAGAGAGTGTGTGTGTGTGTGTGGGGGGGGTAGGGGTAATGTATGGGAACAGGGTGAACTAAGAGGATATATCTGCTTTTAGTGTTGCAGAATGTTGTATCTGAATGCCAGATCAACACAGGTCTGCCTCATTCTGCACTGTTCATTCGACAGCTCAGTATGTGTATGTTGAATGCTCCTATAAGTAAGAATGTGTATCATTCTCAGTGTTCTTCTTCCCTCCTCCTCCTCTATCTTTTCTCCATTTCCCTTTCTGTTTCTACTTCTCTCCTCCAAGCCACTCCCAGGCAAGCTCTTCTTACCACCCTCCCCCCCCCTTTACTGGATGCAGCTGGAAGAGGGGAGGGGGGCGGGGTGGGGGGTAGGCGGGAAAGTTTAGGAATTTCCAGCCCCTATCTCCAGTCCCTGGCTGGCTGTCAGAATACCCTGTTGGGATGAGGAGGGTCTGCTTTCCTGGGGCTGAGGATTCCAGCCTGGCTAGGACTTAGGGGTGGAGGGACTGGCTGGGGCAGGGCCCTTCCTGGAAGAGGCTGTGGGTGGAATTGGGTTTCTCCCAAATTCCTATGTGGAATATGTATACCATCATCTTCAGTGTGTGTGTGACGGGTCTCAGACAGGGATTTCAGAGGTGGAAAGGTTAAATGAGTTCTGAAGGGTGGAGCCCAGGTAGGATTAGTGGCTTTATAAGGCAAAGAAGAAGGGAAGGGTTTCCTCTTCTTCCAGCAGGCATAGATGGGCACACTGGCCCATGTGAGCACGCAATGAGAAGTCAGCTGCATGTGAGGCAGGAGGAAGGCCTCAGCAGAGCCTGGCCACGCTGGCAGCCTGGCCTCCGGTTTTCAGGCCCAGAACCCTGAGGAAGAAATGTCTATTGTTTAAGCTAACAGTCTGTGGAATTTGTTGTGGTAATCTGAGATGAGGAGGATGCAGTCCCTAGGCTGAGTGGTCCTAATTTTTTTCCACGTGGACTTTCCAAACTCAAAGAGAACCAAGGCCCCAGGCCCAGATTAAGTGAGGTGAGATCAAGTGAGGTGATATTCCCCCTCCTCTTCTTAGATTCTTTTCCTCCAAGTCCTGATGGCCTTCTCATCCCATTGATCTGTTCCCAGCTCAGACTCAGATCCTGGCTCTTGCCTTACCGTCATGTTTCTAAAGCACAAAACTGACCAACCATTTGCAAAAAGCCTCTGGTACCTGCCTATTAACAACAGGATAAAGTTCAAGGGAGTTTTGTGTACAGTTGTACGTAGAACCTGCACAACTGTATGCAGTACTGAGACTGTCTTCCTCCTTTAATTCATATTGATTACACACACACACACACACACACACACACACACACACACACACACACACTCTTTGGCAGTCCTGAAGTTTGGACCCAGGGTTTTACACTTGCTAGGCAGGTGCTCTGCCATCTGAGCCACACCAGCTCTTTCTGCTTTAGTTATTTTCTTCAGGGAGGGCCTTACTTTTCTTGCCTGGACTGACTTTATATTTTTGTTGTGGAAACTTTTCAGGTACCCATAGTAATAAAGGAACTCTGCCAGTCTCCTGTCTAGGACTGGGCACTGAGGGCTTGAGAACTTCTGCTAATATCCCGCAGTCTCTGGGAGTGGAGCAGTGCCTGACCACAGGCTGGGTGGGCTGATCTTAGCCCTGGGCTGCTCTAGTCTGGTTTAATTTCCTAGGCTGGAATCATCACCTATCAGGCCTGACCTTGGCCAAGATAATGATGCTCTGGCAAGGTCACACTCGAAGAAGCCAGGCACTTCCTCTGCATAGAGCCAATGTGGGCTTCTTCCCTGAGCTTTGCCTCTTACCCAGTGAGGAACTCAAACCTGCTAGACAAAAGGCTCCAGATTCTCTGGGGTGGAGGTGGGGGTGGCAGTGGGCAGGAAAGGGCCTCGCTTCTTCAAGTGGCCTGGGCAAGCTGCCTCTTTGCATTCTTGACTCTCTGCTGCCCCCTAGTGGCCATGAGGTCAATCAACACCACACAGCTGTAAGGGCTTGGGGTCCTCCCAGTTCTGAGGTTAGGAGGACTCTAGAGCTTGTTCTAGCCGGGTTCACACCTGTCATCCTACTAGCTAATCAGGAGGCTGAGATCTAAGGATTGCGGTTCAAAGCCACCCTGGGCAGGAAAGTCCGTGAGACTCACATCTCCTATTAACCACCAGAAAACTGTAAGTGGAGCTGAGGCTCAAAGTGATAGAGTATTAGCCTTGAGCAAAAGAGCTCAGGGACAGTGCCCAGGTCCCAAGTTCAAGCCCCATGACCACCACCACCACCAAACAACAAAAAAAGACTGGAGTTTAGGCAGAACTCCAGAGAGATGCCTTTGTGTATGCTCCAGAAGAAGATGAAAAAGAAGAAAAACAACAACAACAGGGCTCCTCTGTTCCCATTCACCAGATGTGTATTATATAAAACACTTGGTAGCTATGACACCTGTTATGGGACACTTGCCAAAAAATCAAAAGCAAATATGGAGATATAAAAATGGAGGAAGCGATAGAGGGGACAGTCTGTTCTCTGTCTTTGCAGCCTCAGGCCAAGAGACTCATGGGTCCTAACTCAGCATACACTGTTTACCACAATACCAGGGGTCACGGGTCTCAGCTCATCGTGGAGGTGGAGTCCAGACATGCAGGTATGGGTGTGCTGCACAATCGTGGAGGAACACTCTAAAGAGGCCCACCAATGCCATGTCTATCAGCTGAGGCTGGTGGGGACGGGGTGTCTGGATGCAGGTTATTGCTGAAGATGACAGCAGGTCTGAAGGTCTTAACTTGATCCTGTTCTCTAGTCCAATAGAAGAGTTGGTCAGTGTGGCCACAGTCCCGCCTCCTGGGGGTAAAGGTAAACTCATGGATAAGGCCCTTAAGGTGTTCAGGAGGGCACATAGGTGCCCCTCCTTCCCCCTACATCCGTTCTGTGTCCCGCAGCAGAGCAGCTACCAGGCTGATGACCTGGGAGGCAGGCTGGACAGCATCATATTCTGCGAAGAGGTGGCACACATTTTCCTGGGGCTCCGTCTGGCTCTTGGCTACAAACCCAAAGATCCTGGTGGGAGAGGGCAATCTGAGTTAGCTGGCATGGGGGGAGGTGCGGGGAGATGGGGGGAGGTGGGGTGTAGGGGCGGGTATTCATTCTACACCTAGGTTAGTCCTGGCTTTAGCACCTCATTATCAAAGACAGCTTAGAGATAAGACATCCCCCTGTCAGACTTCACATTCTGAGTCTCCATTATAAATGGCAGGGGCAGGGTGGGGGGAAGATCCAAGGACAGGACCTATGTATTCCTCATTAGAGTGGAAACTCCCTGAAAGCAATGATGCCCTTGACCATCATCTTGGAGGATCCCTACGAGACTGAGGCTTGCAGGCCGCTGGTGGCTCACACCTATAATCCTGGCTACTCAGGAGGCTGAGATCGGAGGATCCTGTTTCAAAGCCATCCAGGCAGCAACGTCCACTGGACTCTTATCTCCAATTAACTAACAAAAAGTCACAAGTGGAGCTGTGGCTCAAGTGGCAGAGTACTGCTAGCCTTGAGCACAAAAGCTCAGGGACAGTGCCCAGGCCCTGAGTTCAAGCCCCAGTACTGGCACAAAAATAAAATAAGACTGAGGCTCCCTGAGGTAGAATCTGTGCCTCTTGCATGTAGTCCAGGACTCTGAGAGTCGTGTCTCCCCGACCAGACTAGGAGCCCCCTGAGGATGGATGGTTCTGTGCCCCCATCAACATGGGTTCTTTAAGTTAGGATGTGGCCTCCCTCCATCTCCAGGTGTGGGGCCCTGCCACGGGACACATCTTAGGATGGGAAGGCCTTACCAGGATGGCTTGCAGTATTTCTGCCACCTGTGGGAAAGGAACAAGACAAGAGTGAGGAAGGATGCCTTGCTCTCTCCCTCAAGACCCTGATGCGAATCCGGAGATGGGCCAGCCACTTCCTCTCTTGCCCTCATCTTGAGGCTTCTGAGCCCTTGGAGCTCACAGGCACTCTCCTTCCAACCAATGCCAGAGTCAGCAGGGCACTGTGGAGGGCAGCTGGGCACCCTGGAGGGCCCAGCCTTAAACTTACTTCCGTTGCTCAGGGTCCATGCCACAGAAACGCAGGGTGGAAAGTGGATAATGGCGCCGGAAAAACACTCTGTGTGGAAGGAAGAGAGAGAGAGAGAGAGAGACAGAGAGAAAGAGAGACAAAGACAGAAAGACAGAGAGAGACACAGACAGAGAGACAGAGAGAGGGAGAGAGAGAGGGAAAGAGAGAAGAAGGAGAGGGAGGAGAGGGAGAGAGGGAGAGGAAGAAAGAGAATATGAACAAGAGCTTGTTCTGGTGCCATGTCTGGCTTCTAGTATTTCTGGCTCCCCCCAAAGCTTCTTGTAACTCAAGAAGCCTATCAGTAAAATTCTTATGACCTGGCATGACCTTCTTATTATTGCTTGGGCCTAGGACTCCGATGGAGCCCATTTGCCCTGCATCCTCATAATTAAGGCCTTCTGCCATCCGTCCACCATGCTGCTAGGTTGTTTTGTTTTGTTTTGGGAACTGGTTCTGAGGCTTGAACTCAGGGCCTGGATACTGTCCTTGAGGGTTTTTTTTTGTTTGTTTTTGTTTTTTTGCTCAAGGCTAGAGCTCTATTACTGAGCAACAGCTGTACATCCAGCTTTGTTCTATTGGTTTATTGGAGACTCTCATGGACTTTCCTGCCTGGGATGGCTTTGAACTGAGAACCTCAGATTGCAGCCTTCTGAGTAGGATTTCAGGCCTGAGCCTGGATCCTCTTGTTCCTTCCTGCTTGTGTGTGTATGCATGCACATGCACGCTTGTGTCACTACTGGGGCTTGGACTCAGGGCCTCAGTACTGTTCCTTAGATTTTTTATTTTTTTTGCTCAAGGCTGGTGCTCTACCACGTGAGCCACAGCTTTACTTCCACTTTCTTGCTTTAAGCGCCCTGCCCAGGTGGGCTCCTGTGAGCCCACAAGGACAAAGTGACTTCATTCCAGTCTGCATTCCTGAGCTCAGTCTAGAAACCATGTCCCATCATCGTGCAAACATAATCAGCATCCAATGGAAACTGGTGAATTCCATCCCAGCAGTCAGGACAAGGGACACTTCTGCAGAGGGTCAGTGGACTGAGGCCTAGAGAAGGTAGGGAATTGCCTGAAGTCAGACAGCACGTAGGTGGCCCACTGGGTCCATAGTGCTCTGAATCCTGGGCTGTGTCTCACTCTCCTCTCTAGCCTTGCTCTGCCAACCTGGCCACCCTCAGTGGAGGGAAGGCCCTTACTTTCTCTGGACATCTGTCAGGGTGATGCCTTGCTCGGTGACTTTGAAATGCACCACGGTGGGTGTGGGGAGGACATCTCTCTCGAAGGTGGTAGAGATGGCTTTCTGCACAGCCAGGGCCCCGCTCAGGGTCTCCACACTCACGGAGCTCAGGTACAAGGTGTGGCAGCCTGTGGGATACAGAAAACCGTGATGTGGGGTGTGCAATCAGTCCTCACCAGGCCCAGATCTTCCCTCTGCCCAGACCCAGATTAGGACAGGAGGTGGTCGTTTTCTTTAGTCAAATCCACCAAACAGGTAGGGAGGGAGTGGATCTGTGGGTCTCAGAAATTTGAGGCCAACCCCAGAAGACTCAGCTTTTGGTTGCTCCGCCCCTCCCAGCCCTCCAGGGTGGGGCAAGGGAGGGTAACCCAGAGCAGGAGTTGTCATGGAGAAGAGTGATTGATGCCTGACCTCTGGAAGTGGGGGTGGGGGTCCTGTAGAAGCCCCCAGGACTCACACTTGACACCTCCCAAAGGATCCTGACCTAGAGACCACCTCCAGGGTAGGGATCTGAGATGCAGAGAGACCCTGGCATGATTGCCTGTGCCCACGTGTGTGCAGGATGGGGTGCCAGCCTGCCAGCAACCCCTCTCCACTTCCCTGCTGGCCCAAAGCCTGCAGCCTCTCCTCTCTTGGTTTAACAGAGGCCCAGGGGGCTGGGGCACCTTGTGAAAGCTGCAGAAACAAAGGGATGATGGGAAACATGTGTGGGCCTGCATGGTCTGGAGTTGGGAGGTACTCAGGGGGGTGGGGAGAAGCCCTGGGGGGCACAGTGAGCCCAGGCGCCTCCCCCACACCACTTACCCGCAGATTTCTTCAGGCAGGAGGAGGGGCTGTCTGTAGCTGAGTTGGTGGTTCCATCTGCACCTCCAAGTTCTGAGCCACAGAAAAGGAATAGGCCCCCAGGGAGGTCAGGAGGGGAATGAGTAGACCCCTCTCCGGAGAGCAGGTTTCACTAATTCCTTTGAACACTTCCCGACTCTATACTCCCCCCCTCCCCATCTCCAGGAAGTGACTGGCTGAGAAACCAGGTGTGATTACTGCAATTAGGCAAACTTTGGGCTCCCAGATGCCTGGCTTGCAAGCCTTTTGATCTCCCCCAAGCCCCTACCCCAGGCTGCTGCTGTGACCTTGTCCTCACAAGCCACCCCCCACCTACTGTTTTCATACCCTGTCCCCAGGCTGAGTGTAGAGATGCTCCCCTCCACCTCCCAAATGTCCTCTAGCTCCACCATTTTGCACATCACTGAGATGACCCACTCTGTGGTCTCTATGGAGATGCTGGGCCAGATGGAGCTGGAGATCTGGGTTTGGGTCTGACTCTGTGAGTCTTTGGGCAAGTTACTTAGGTCTAGGACCTTACTGTTATATCTATGAAATGGGTCTGTTAAGAGGGTCATAAGAGTCGGGCTTCAGTGATTTTCCTGTAATCCTAGCTACTCAGGAAGCTGAGATCTGAGGATCATGGTTTGAAGCCAGCACAGGGAAGGAAAGTCTGTGAGTTTTAATCTCCAATTAACAACCAGAAATCTGGAAGTGAAGCTGCAACTCAAGTGGAAGAACACTGTCCTAAGAGACAGCACCCAGGCCCTGAGTTCAAGCCCTAGTACTAATGCACACACACACACACACACACACACACACACACACACACACACACACACACACACACCTCTGTCATCTACTTTACCTGATAAGGTGAATGAGTAAGTATGTAAGAAACATCGGGCTTGGTGGAGGAAAACTACCTTTTGCACACTGTTGGACTTATGCTTTTATTCTCTTTAGGATGCCTAGTATATGTCTGTTCTAGGCTATCATTGTGTTTAGACCCTGGCTAGATTTGTCTTGTCTAAGCTGCTCACCATTGTTTCATTGTGGGTATGCAAATGGTTATCTCCATTTTATAGAGGGAGAAATGAAGGCCCAGAACTTTACCATTCTCAAATTCTCACATCTAGTAAATAGAAATTACTGACCCGCTTCAGAGAATACTTTTGTAAAAAAATTACCCACGGCACTGAAATAATCCATAAACAGGGTAAGAGGTGACCCATGAGAGCCTGTTTAGTGACAATCAACAGCCCCCTGCCCTAGGACCAGGCTTACCTTTGTGTGGGATGCTGAGTTTGCAGGGCAGGGCCAGGGCCATGATGGAGTGCTGGCACACGAAGGCTGACAGGCTTCCTGTTAGGGAACGGACAGCTCAGGAGGGTTTTCCTAGGCTCCCCCTCTCTCCACAGAGCAGGAGGGTGGGACCCCCCACCCCAGGGGTCTGGAGACTGGGGGAGGTCATCTCCTGGAGGCTGAGGAAGGCTCACCAAAGTAGGGCTCTTCATCTGCTCCTTTGAGATGTACCCCTTTAGCAGAAGACTCGATGAGGAAGTGTCGGATAAGGTCACTGCTGTCCTCACCTGGGCAAAGAAAGAAGAAGATGGGGTCCTGGAGCCCAGTGTTCACCAAATCCCGGATCACTCCATCCGAACATGACTGTCCTACTAGTTTCTGCCTTGGGTGAAGCCTCAGGTAGGAGTCCTGTGTTCAAGGTCTTCCTCCAAAGGAAATGTTAGCACATTAGCTCAATGGCTTCTGTGTCTGGTAATTTCCCTTCAGGAAACCCTTCTCTTGGACAAGAATTATCAGTGATAGTGTGTGTGTGTGTGTGTGTGTGTGTGTGTGTGTGTGTGTGTGTGTAATTTAAGGCCTTGGTGTTCTATCAGTTGAGCCACTTCCGGATTTTGGTGGCTAATTGGAGATAAGAGTCTCACAGAAATTCCTGCCCAGGCTGGCTTTGAACCGTGATCCTCAGATCTCAGTCATCTGAGTAGCTAGGATGACAAGGGTGAGCCACCAATGCTTCAGGGACAGCTTCCCCCCTCTCCCCCCCCCCCCCCCCCTCTCTCACTGTCTCTCTTTTGGTCAGTTGCGGTCTTCAATTCTGGGCCTGGGTGCTGTCCCTCAGCTCTTCAGCTCAAGGCTAGCACTCTACCACTTGAGCCACAGCACCACTTCCAGTTTTCTGATGGTTAACTGTAGGTAAGAGTCTCACAGACTTTCTTGCCTGGGCTGGCTTTGAACCGTGATCCTCAGATCTCAGCCTCCTGAGTAGCTAGGATTACAGATATGAGCTACCCGTGCCTGGCTTCAGAGATAGTTCTTGGTGACTGCTTAGAGCAAATATCAGCTCTTTAGTCTGGTCTTCCCCATCCCATCCCTGACTGGCAATTACTTCCTGCCAGATCACCTCTGCATGTTGAACAAGGCTGGCGCCTGAGGGGGCACCCCTGCCCTCTGACTCCTCACAGGCCCACAGCTTCTCCTCCACCTCCTCTCATTGCCTCTCCAAAAGGCTTCTTTGAAAACCTGTACCTGAGAGAGGTTGTTTTTCTTCCTCTTTTTCAGTTTCCCCCATGCTAGGGATGGAACCCAACCAAGGCTCTGTGCCTGTAGACAAGCACTCTACTACTGGGCTCTACCCTCAGCCCTTCATTTTCTTATGCCAACTGAGAGGCAGCATACAAAAGAACACAAGGTTGAATTGTTCATTCTCTCTCTATCACTTAATAGCCTGTGGTCATAAATTCTTTGTGCCTCACCTGATTATTGAATGAGCGGTACTATCCTATTTTTTTTTAGGTGAGGACTTTATTATTAAGTGCCTTGTACTGTAATATTTGTTCTACTTCCATCTCCCCAGCGAGGTGGTGTCTGCTTGTGATTCCTCTATCTCCCCGATTCCTTACTGAGCCTGGCACACAGTTGAGGTGAGTGTTGAGTTACTGTGAGCTCCTGGGAAGGCACAGGATAAGCTAATCACACATGTGATTAGCCATAATACTAATCAATTGCCATTATACTAATCATCAGCTATTATACATGTGATAAGCTATCACACGTGTGATTGGCTCTTACACGTGTGTGATAAGCTGGTGTATACACATTCAGACTCCATTTGGGTTCCTGGAGATGAATCTAGTCTGGACTGAGGTAAGTCCCAGAAGACCAAGTCTGGGAAAGGGGTGGGGACCTTCCTCCATGAGGGTAGAACTGGACATTTCAGGGGCTCATTTCTGGAGGGCAGCTGGGAGGGCCAGGAGGAGACCCTCCTCTCAAGAGTTGTTATGACACGGCTCCCAAGGCGGCCTTTAGAGTTAGTGTTAAGCTTGGATGGAACCCACCACACCCCATGGCCCCAGCAAACACAGAGATGGGGAAAGTACCTGTACCTGGTCTGCTCTGGGCGGATGCCGGAGCTTCCTGCACCTTCAGGGCAAGGCCGAAGGAGCCTCGGTAGGAAGAGCTGTCCCTGACCACGAAGGCACCTGGCTCCTCCTTTCTCAGAAGCTCGATTGCTGGAAAAATCCTTAAGTCAGAGGCAGATACCATAGACCCCCTGTTCCAGTCCCATAGGGTGTTTGTGTGTGTGTGTGTGTGGTGCTGATACTGGGGCTTGAACTCATGGCCTCACACTTTGCTTGGCTTTTTTTGCTCAAGGGTGTCACTCTACCACTTGAGCTATGTTCCATTTTTCTTTTTTTTTGGTCCGGTCGTGGGCCTGAACTCTGGGCCAGGGTGCTGTCCCTGAGCTCTTCAGCTCAAGGCTAGCACTCTACCACTTGAGCCACAGCGCCACTTCTGGCTTTTTTTTTTCTGCTTATGTCATGCTGAGGAATCGAACCCAGGGCCTCATGCATGCAAGGCAAGCGCTCTACCACTGAGCCACCTTCCCAGCCCAACCATGTTCCATTTTTCTAGTATTTATTTTGCTGGTTAATTGGAGATAAGAGTCTCTTAGACCTCTGCCTGGGCTGGTTTTGAACCATGATTCTCAGATCTCAGCCTACTGAGTAGCTAGGATTATAGGAATAAGCCACCTCATAGGGTCTTTTTCTTTCTTGCCAGTCCTGAGGCTTGAACTCTGGGCCTGGACACCACTTCCAGCTTTTTAAAGTAGTTTTTTACAGGTAAGAGTCTCACGGAGTTTTCTGCCCGGGCTGGCTTTGAACTGTGATCCTCAGATCTCAGCCTCCTGAGTAGCTAGGATTACAGGCTTGAGCCACTGGCGCCCAGCTTTCATAGGATCTTAATAGAGGAGTCATTGCACAATCATCATTTGTTCTCAGGAAGTTCCTTCTACAGTCTAATCTCTGCAAGTTTAGCTGTAGTTCCTATTTCTTCATGAGGTCGGCAGGGTCAGCAAAAGCCCAGTCCTCCGCCTTTTCCCCAGGCCTGCTGCTTGCCATTCCCTTCATTCCCATGACCTAGGGTCCCATCCTCCCAAGGCAGAATTCAGAAACAGATCGACGTATTGGGTCACCTGTTTTCTGCTTCCTTTTACCTTGCTCTCGGGTGATACTGGGCTTAAACCAGTATTTGGAAGTGTCCATCACAAACTTCATGGTAGGCTGCATGTCCTTGGCAGGACCTGGAGACAGGCAGAGAAAGGAGATGATGCAGGCTGGACCAAGGGCTGCCAAGAGGTGGCCAGCAGAGTTTGTCAGAGCCACTGAGCTGTTCTACAAGGAGTCCCAAACGGCCACCCTCCCTGACCCCATCCCTAGGAGATCTCCAAATTACCTAAAGAGACAAAAGCAGTCAGGAAGGGGCTGGGAATGTGGCTTAGTGGTAGAGTGCTTAGCATTCATGAAGCCCTGGGTTCAATTCCTCAGTACCATATAAAAAGAAAAAGCCAGAAGTTGTGCTGTGGCTCAAGAGGTAGAACAACAACAAAAAAAGCTCAAGGATAGTGACCAGGTCCTGAGTTCAAGCCCCAGGACTTGGGCGGGGGTGTGGGGGTGGTGGGGAAGCAGTCAGGAACATCCGGAGCTGGCCGCACCTAAAACTTAAAAGTCCCCCTGTATTCTTGATAATGAATGCCCCCATGATGGGGACTGACAGAGGGATAGATAAAGGAGTCCCAGCTGCATTATTTGATTTCACACTCTTCTCTCCCTTCATAACTCTAAGAGTTCTTTAGAAATATATTCAGCAAACAGGAAGGACAAGGAAACAGTAGATCTGGATGCAAGAACCTGTGCCTGGAAGTTAGGAGCTTGAATTTATAAATTGATTTAGGCTGGGTGCCGGCTGGTGGCTCAGGCCTGTAATTCTGTCTACTCAATGGGCTGAGATCTGAGAATTAAGGTTTGAGTCCATAAGACTCTTAGATCCAATTAATTAGCAAAAAGCTGAAAGTGGAGGCTCAAAGTGGTAGAGCACCAGCCCTGAGGAAAAACAAAAACAAAAACAAAAAAATTCCCTAAGGGGCTAGGCCCTAGGTCTTAAATTCAAACCCTGTACCAGTGTGTACATGTGCACTTGCATACACACAACCCTTGATTTTGTAGAATGGTTTAGCTCCTAAAGCCCAAAGGAGATTAAGTGGGCTAAATAACCTCTGAGGGTCTTTAATGTTTCAAAAGCACAAAAATGATTTTTTTGTTTTGTTTTGGTACTGGGGCATGGGACCTAGGTCTTCATGCATACCAGGTAAGTTCTCTACCACTGAGCTATCCCCTAACCCATGAAAATAAGTTTTATTTTGAGACTGTTTTGCAGAATTTGATAAGATCTTAGAGTCTAATGAGTGCTGTCTTGGGGTATTATCAAAGCAGGGAGAAGACTGTATTCTTTGTGATACCAAAGGTCCAGCATTCTGGGACCCTCAAAATTGGAGATCAATGGTTTTCAATGTCAACATCTTAAAGTGTGACCTGTCAGAGCTGAGAGTAACTCATTATAACAATCATACTATAATCTGCAAGTGATGTGGACTCGGAAAGCCATCGGAGTAGATTCAAACGTACACTTGAGATGTCATTGTCTCCTGCTTGCACTGATGTGTGTGTAAGAGTGAGCATTGGGCTAGATGCCAGTTGCTCACACCTGTAATCCTAGCTACTCAGGAGGTTGAGATATGAGAATCTGGGTTCAAAGCCAGCCCAGGCAGAAAAGTTCCCTTATCTCCAATTAACCGCACAAAAACCGAAGTGGAACTGTGGTTCAAAAATGGTAGAGCGCTTGAGCAAAAAGAGCTCAGGGATAGTGCCCAGGCTCGGAGTTCAAACTCTATGACCAAGACACACACACACACACACACACACACACACACACACACACACACACACACACACAGTGAGCTTCCCTTTCCCCTAGGAGTCACCTTGGATATCTCACAGTGGAACTAGGCTTGGAAGTTGATGGCTGGGGGAAGGGTTGCTGAAACAGGGTCCCTGGGATCTGCTCATGGGAGGTGCACATCAGAGGGTGCTTGGGCTCAGCCTCTGTGTTTACTGCTGTGGGTTCTGGTTGCTTGTATTCTTTTTGGATGCCTGTAAGTCACCGGCTCCGGGAAGGAGGGTGTTTGCTGGTTTGTGGTTTTGTCTGTCTGGAGTTGGAATGCATTGTCTCCATTCCCCGTCCACCCCTTCTGGGTTCACTCATTTCTGAACGTCAGAGGGAACACTGAAGCGCCCTCTGGTTCTCCTCGGCTTAGTCATCAAGCTCCTTGCTCCAACATCCCCACGGTTGCCTGGCTCTGTCCTCTGTCCCCAGCCCTCTACCCCAGTTCTCCTGTCCACAACCCATTTGCCATGTAGCTATGATGGGGGCCTGCACCATCGACACCCTGTGCCCCACTTTCCAGCAACCTGCTGCTACTCAAAGCATGTAAAACTCATCTCCTTTTTCTTTGGTTGGTGGTGGGGTCCCTGAGCATTTTTGCTCAAGGCAAGTGCTCTACCACTTTGAACCCACAGCACCACTTCTGGTTTTCTGGTGGTTAACTGGAGATAAGAGTCTCACAGACTTTCCTGCCTGGACTGGATTTGAACCTCAGATCTTCAGATCTCAGCCTCTTGAGTAGCTAGGATTACAGGCATGAGCCCCTGGTGCCTGGCTCACCCACTTTTTTTTTTTTGGGTCCGGTCGTGGGGCCTGAACTCTGGGCCTGGACGCTGTCCCTCAGCTCTTCATCTCAAGGCTAGTGCTCTACCTCTTGAGCCACAGCGCCACTTTGGCTTTTTTCTTTTTCTGCTTATGTGGTGCTGAGGAATCGAACCCAGGGCCTCATGCATGAAAGGCAAGCGCTCTACCACTGAGCCACCTTCCCAGCCCATGCACTTTTTAGTCTGTCGTTCAAGGCCTCTCATAATCAGAGTCCTCTCAGTGACTTTTCCCTGGGCCCAATATTCCTGGCATTCCTAGATATGGCATGTGTTTACAGGTCATCTGACTGCGGAGGCCCTGTTCTCTCTATAGGGGCTTAACTCAGGGCCTGAATGCTCTTCCTTAGTTTTTGTGCTCAAGGCTGGTGCTCTACTACTTGAACAATAGCTCTGCTTATGGCTTTTTGCTAATTAATTGGAGATAAGAGTCTCATGGACTTTTCTGCCCAAGCTGGCTTTGAATTGTGATCCTCAGATCTCAGCCTCCTGAGTAGCTAAGGTTACAGAAATGAGGCATGGGCATCCTGACATGGTTTTGTGTTTTGTTTTTGCCAGTCCTGGGGTTTGAACTCAGGGCCTTGGCACTGTCCCTGAGCTTCTTTTGCTCAACGTACTCTGCCACTCTACCACTTGAGCCATAGCACCACTTCCAGCTTTTTCTGTGTATGTGGTACTGGGGAATCAAACCCAGGGCTTCATGCATGCTAGGTGAGCACTGTACCACTAAGCCACATTCCCAGGCCCTGCCATGTATTTTTATCTGGGCTGGACCTAATATGGGAATCTTGAACTTTGGGCCTGGGGTTCTAAAAACCCAATTTTAGCTTTACAAATGACTCCTTCCTCTGTCGTGCATAGAACCAGAGTGTCTCGATCCTGGGCTTAGCTTCCTCTGAAGTGATTCTTGTATTTGGTCTGTCCAGATTGTGTCTAACTGTGGATCTTCATAACCCGGCACAGTGCTAGCTACCCAGGAGATAGATACTCAATGCAAGTATGGACTGGCTGTTGTTGAAGTCCATTGGTGCATTGGTGCTACGCCCCTCAACTAAACTTCCCAGTGCTTGGTGGATTGATTTATAATGTACCTTCTGGGGACATGGTGAAGGGGGCATCTGACAGGTTCTGACTGTGGTTCCTGGTGGCTTGGCAAGTGTGGCTGGGAGACGCAGCTCCAGGCTGGACAGAGCCCTGGTGTCCTGGTGTCCGCTGGGGCGGAGGAGATCGTGGTTCTGGGCAGCCATTAATCAGCACAATGGGTATGTCTACCATGGAGTTGGCGATGGATGGAGGGCAGCTGCTGGCCTGCTCCTTGGCCAGTGGAGGGGAGTGGGCTGCTCTGGGCTGACTCATGCTCATGCTTAACGTAGGGTTGCTGGGACTCTGGACGTCACTGCGTCTTACACTCATGGACCCTGGGCCAACGTTGTGAAGGCTGGAGGAAGAGCTGGCCGGGCTTTCCAAGGATTTACAAGATGACTGATGGCTGGAGAGGCTAGAGTGGAGGAGGGACTGGCTGCTGCAGGAGGGGGAGAAGGGAGAGAGATATTGAGAAAACAGAGTGTTAGAGGGTTGGATATTTGGGGTCAGATCTAGGTTCTAGAGTCTAGCCATTTGGGTACCATGGCTTTGATTCAGGAGAGTCCTGTATACCTCCCACCCCAAGCCTATAGCAAAGGCCATTTCTGCCTGATTTTCTTTTTAAATTTTGTCAAGGTGATGTACAGAGAGGCTAGTTACATATGTAAGGTAGTGAGTACATTTCTTGTCTAAATTGTTACCCCCTCCCTCATTTTTCTCCCACTTTCCCTCCCTCTGCCCACCTGATCTTCTAAGGATGCTAAATGACTCTGCGGTCATTTAAAGTAGAGAGCAGAGCAGGGCATGGTGGTACACACCTGTCATCCCAGCCTGTGGGAAGTTGAGGGAGGAAAATCATGAGTTTGGGGTAAACTTGGGCTATACAGCAAGACTCTGAATCAAGAACAAAACAAAACAAACACAATAAAGGAGCCCTGAGCTGATCCTGCAGGCCCCACGGTCTCAGGTTGATGAATTCCCTCTGTCTTTCCAGTCAAGCAGATCTGAGATGAACACTCACATCGCCTGACCATCACTCTCAAGAACGTTGCAGACAAGCCGGGCCCGGCGCTGGATTTGTCTGTGGCTGACCCAGAGGGAACTCCCCAGCTGGAGTCAGCAGGCACGGCTGTGGGATCCCCGGACTTTGCCAAATCCTGTGGTTTGGTCTTCCCGGGGCAGGATGGGGTGTGTGTGTGTGCGTGCAGTTCTGTGAGGTTTGCAGAAAAGTGAGCTGAGACCATGAGAAACAATGCCCAGGCAGGTTGGCCTCTCCTATGAGGTTTTGACAGCACAGAAGGGAAGGAGGCTTTTTATTCCCTGATGGTTCACCTCATGCCCACAGAGCCTGTGTACTTCCCTGAGTTTTGAAAACTCTTTCTTTCTTTCTTTTTTGTCCATTGTGGGCTTGAACTCTGGGCCTGGGCGCTGTCCCTCAGCTTTTCAGCTCAAGGCGGGTGCTCTACCACTTGAGCCACAGTGCCACTTCTGGCTTTTTCTGCTTATGTGGTGCTGAGGAATCGAACCCAGGACCTCATGCGTGCGAGGCATGCATTCTACCACTAAGCCATCTTCCCAGCCCCTGAAAGGCCTTTCTTAAGGTGGGTTGTGGCAGGACTGGAAAGGAGATGGGTGAGACTCCTTAATGAAGGGGGCCCTGTTCGTGAAAAGTAGATGAACATCCAGACTTTTGGGTATTGAATTATATTCTGCATGATAGAGGAAAGCCTGAATGGTTGTTGATAGAAAAAAAAAGACAAAATTGGTGTGTGTGTGTGTGTGTGTGTGTGCCTGCCAGTCCTGGGGGCTTGAACTCAGGGCTTAGGTGATGAACCTTAGCTTTTTATTTTTATTTTTGCTAAAGGCTAGTACTCTAATACTTGAGCCTTAGCTCCACTTCTGGCTTTTTGATAGTTTATTAGAGATAGGGGTCTAACAGTCCTTCCTACCCTGGTTTCAAACCATGATCCTCAGATCTCAGCCTCTTGGGTTGCTAGGATGACATGTGTGAGCCACCAGTACTTGGCCCAACATCCCAACATTCACCCTTACCATTTTGGCACATGCTTAGATTTTGTTCAGAGAGAGCAGGGTGCCCTTCTATGATTTTAGAATGTGTATGTGTGTGCCCATAGGCACACGTGCATGTACACTGGGGAGGCACAGGCAGAAACTATGGAACCTACCTTCCAAACACGAAGCTGACATCCGACCCTGGGCTGGCTGACAGCACAGAGATCCTGCTGCCCCGCTGTGGGACCAGGGCTCTCAGCCCCTTCTCCAAGCCTGGAGAAGCCACCAGCGAGGACCCTGAGGCCCGGCTACTCCTGCAAGGGATGGAGATACTGGGGGAGGGGGAGGGGGAGGGGATAGGAGCCGGACCCCTGCCCTGGTTTCCAGAGAAGATGAGGCTCTCGCTGCTGCTTCGAGTCTCTCGAGGGATGTCTCTGGAAAGAAGGAGGCCGCCAATGCGTGGGGAGCCACAGGGTGGGGTGACAGAGGGGCTGGAGCATTGCTGGGGGCCATTGTGACATCTTGATTTGGTGGAGGTCACTTCGATGTACTTTATGTCTATGGGGAGAGAAACAGAGCCTTGGTGAAACCTAGAAGACTGGATGGAGATGTGGGAAGGGGCCTCAGGATCTCCCTTCCTTCCTTCCTTCCCTCCCTCCCTCCCTCCTTCTCTTTCTTCCCTTCCTCCCTCCTTTCTTCCCTCCCTCCCTCCTTCCTTCTTGCCCCCCTCTTTCCTTCCTTCCTTCCTTCCTTCCTTCCTTC